TGAGCGAGGAGGCGCCGTGCGCCTCCTCCTTTCTCCTTCGGGACTAAGGGTTCGTTCCCCTTTGTGGGGCCGGGGTCTCCGCCGCCCCGGCGAGAGTGGGGGCGGCGGCGCTGACGTCTGGCCACCCCCGGACTTGGCCCCCCGCGCGTCCTGCCGGGGGAGCGAACTTGCCTTCGCGGCCGTGGGGTTTCTAGCCGGGTCCGCGGGACCGTAGGGTCCACTTGAGGTATCGGGTTACCGCATCTGAAAATCTCTCCCGGTGTTATCAATGTTTTTAGAAGATGTTTGCTTGAATTCCCTTTTCCTTCCCTCTACACGTAACCTTGGGACCGCCCCTGTTTTCTCATACTATTTCCTGAGCATATTCCTCACAGGATTGTAATTGAGGCAAAAACGTGATGGAGATATTGACTTTGTGTATTGATATTTAATTGAGGAGTTTGCAGTCTAAGTGCTGCAACGCAGCGTATTTTACAACTTTATGTGGAAGGTTGGTTGACTCTGGCTGACTCTGAACACCTAGTTGAAAATTAACTGCTCTGATCAAATTACCAGGCCTGACATTCTTTAACATTTTGAAAGAAAAATCTATATGCAAATGACTCAGTAGCGTATTCTGTTGCTCTGAAGACAAAAACTTAAAGAGGAGTAGCATAAAATTTTAAATTTAAATCAGAAAACTGGTTCTTCAATATACTAAGTCAAAATGATGGTTGGAAGAACCCCTAAAAGATAAGATTATTTCCGAGGGAGTGAGTGCTACATTGGTTGGCTACTGCTATTTAGGTAGTTAAGAGAATTATGATAGAAACATTTAGTGGTTAAGGGACTGAGTTTCTCTTAGAAATACTTTCCTGAGCCCCAGTTTCCTAAGCTATAAAATGTTTAGTGTAGTACCGGCCTCAATAAATGGTAGTTGACCATTGTTATATTTTTAATGTTATTTTAGCAATATCATCACAGATTGGAGGGCTCCCCAGGGGTGATAACAAACAGGTGCTTTACAAAGCTAGTAATATAAAAACAGACATTGGACTTGGTCTGTGGAAACATCATTGACAACCTGCTATAGAGTTGTCACATTGGGGTGATTTGGCCAGATTTGAATGTTATCTGACCACCTTGCCTACAGCAGATGCTCTGAGCCCAGCCCGTGTTGCCCAGGGTCAGATTCACCCAGGAGCAGCCTGGTCTGCCTGAATAAGAAAGGGCCAAGAAGGGTATTATCCTCCTGGTAGTCTAAGGGTCTAAATACCAAAGAATAATTACTAGAGGTGGAATCCAGAGGAAAGAAAAGGTAATTTTTTATTATTCTAGAGGGATAAGGGTTGGGGGAGAGAGAGAGAGAAGCATGGAAATGAGAGAAAACCACTGGTTGGTTGCATCCCTCACTTGCCCGGAGCCAGGATCCAACCCTCAACCCAGGTATATATCCTGACCAGGAGTTGAAGCCACCACCCTTTGGTGCACAGAACAACACTAGAACCAACTGAGCCACACCAGCCAGGGCAAAAAAGGGAATTTTTAAACTGATCATTCATTATTCCCTATGGTACAATTTTTCACAATATACAGATTAACACATCCCCTCCATTAAGAAACTGAAATAGCACTGACGGGGTTGCTCAGTGGTTAGAGCCTCTGCCAGAGCACCAAAGGCTCTCCTGTTTAATTCCCAGTCACCAGCACATACCTAGATTGCAGGTTCAATCCCTGAGGGGCATTGGGGGGGCAACCAATCTATGTGTCTCTCTCTCCCCCTCCCCCCTCTAAGAATCAATGGAAAAAATATCTTTGGGAGAGGATTCACAAAAAAAGAAACAAAAAAAACCTTGTTTGTAATAATAATAGATTGGATGACAGCCTAGAATTAAGGGACCACTCAGTCACACTAAGGAAAGAAAATGCCAAACTTGGATTGTTTCCTATGACAGTGATCACTCTTGCTCAGTAGGTGTCCAATAGATACTTCCTGAGGCAGTTCTTAGTAAACAGGAGCTCTCAGTACATGGATGTATCCAGGGCTACCTGCTTACCTCCCTGCCTGACACTAGTGCAGCGATTTTCAACCTTTTCCACCTCATGGCACACAGAAACTAAAATGCTACGGCATTTTAGGTATAATTTTGATGTGTTCACACCAGATGGCTATTACTGTGTTGTCATTTATTAATTGGAGGGAATTAAGGGAAAAGAGGTGAGTGCCCCTGACTAGTCAGGTATTGTGTGTTTTAAAAATTCTTGTGGCACACAGTTTGCCGTGACACGACAGTTGAAAATTGCTGCTCTGGTGAAATAGAAAACCTCATGGAGAAGGACCTTCTTTGTCTGTCCTTCCTTTCATTTCCCTTAGAAATTTCACGTTTTGGAGGAGGTGTAGAATTAGTATTTACCATCCATTCCCTAGACTCAAAAAAGGACTATAACACCAATAATTGACTCAAACTCAATAGGGCAATATGTAGCTGTGGGATGGTAAATCTGATTTTCTCTGTATGATAGGCTTAGGTGTCTTCAATATATTGTTTATTTCTCAGGTATACTGCAGTGCTCCCAGGCTCCAGGGGGCAAATCCAGAATTCCATGATTAATGCGAGAGCGTAAGCCACAGTAACCAGATTCTTGGAGGTTATGATTTTTTATTTTCTGCTTTAAAAAATAAATTATACCTGCTGCTGAATGCTAATTCTCAGATGATTATAGTTACTTAGGAAAGAGGAAGAAAAAAGCCAACATTAGCACAGGTTGTGACAAGTTTAAAAATACTAAGAATACCATGGTTTCCCAGTAAGTAACTTGAGAGTGTAGTTATTTTAATTGGGTTACCAAATATAGCTTCACCTTCCTAAATCTCACTAGCTACACTACATTCATTGGGGAACATTCAGGGAAGGTTTCTGCCTCCCACTTTCATTCTATGTTTGACTGTAGGTATGAACATAACCAAGGGTTTATTTTTCCTGAAATTATTTATTTTTTTCTGGTGTTTCAGCTGGTTTTTTTTAGAAAGAGGAAGGGGGAGAGAGAGAGACATCCATTTGTTGTTCCACTTAGATATGCATTCACTGGTTGATTCTCCTATGTGCCCTGACCCACCAGGATGGAACCCGAAACCTTGGAGTATGCTCTAACCAGGGCTTAGTATATATATTCTTAAGGATTTTTTTCTACCCTCAGTTTTCTGCCTTTCTCACTTCCGTTTCCAGAGGAGGAAAAAAATGAAAACTCATCAAAATATTATTTCTTTCAGTACACTGACTACTGTATTAATATATGTATGTGGATAATTTAAAATCATTAATAACTAACTTCTAAACTCCTATAGCGAGGAAAGTAACCTATGCAGAGAGGAATCAAATGCATTTCTTTGTTATGGTTCCTACAGGAAAAATAGAAAAATTAGCAACACCGTGTGCCAAACACTATAAATATTTTCACTTACAGTATCTCAAATATAATAATGCACTTAATGGATAGAGAATACGGTAACATTCCTTAGAGAAAAAAGTTTATATATACTAAGTACATTACAATCCACCCCTTAGGCAGCCCAGAATCAGAAAAAAATCAGTGTCTAATAGGAAAAAAAGGCAGTCTTTTTGACTAAATGTGCTCCCAAATGTTCTCAAAGGAAAAGAAAAAATACAACAGCAGCTTTTAAAATTATCTCAGTAACCTCTTGTCCTGTTTGCCTAAAATTAGAATTTAAATATCATGGGTCAGGGCACATACAGGAGTCAACCAGTGGGTATATGGATGAGTAAAACAACAAATCAGTGTTTCTCTCCCTCTTTCTCTCAAATCAACACATAAAAATTTAAAAATAAATATAAAAGTTAAGTAGTTCAAATTTTTTAAATTAAATGGTACCATTTTTTGTTAAATTACACTATCATAAAGAAGTCATTTAGGCAAAGATGATTTTCATGATTTTAGAAAAGGTAAACTGCAACTTCCATGGCTGAAGTTTAACCTTTAAATGCAAACATTTTCCCACCAACTTATTGTCTGTGTCAATTATTTTTCAATAAAACTGGAAAAAACAAAACTATTGCTTGTTTGGTGAGAGTTAACATCTTCCTCACCAGGCCAGGGTGCTGGGTGGTATCTGAAGAGTTTAAATCTCCTTAATTAACACAGTTTGCTGACTGCATCTGTCACACTGTCATGCTGCAATAAATGAATTTCTCACATTCCCATTTTGAACTCAGGAGACTGATGAGAAAAAAAAGAAACTAAATAGCAGGCCTGGGTTAGACGGCTATTCAAAATCCCAAACAGCTGATAGGTCTAAATCTGTTCCTTTCTGTCTTACCACTTTCATTTATTGACTTATATATACACACATGGTTTCAGATACTTGCCTCCTTGGTCTGAGAGATTAATAATACAGCTTTCCCTCCAATAACTGAATTTTTAAATTTTATTTTGAACTTGTATTTTTTAATTCACAGTTTATATGTTTAGAACAGAAAGAGAAAATGCAGGCAAGCAAAAACAACAAACTTAACCACCTACAGAAAATGTTACCTTCACAATTTTTTGTAAGCATATGAACACATAACAAACTGGACCATATTATGGGTACTTGTGTTTTTCATTTGATACTATAGCATAAACATCTTTCCATTTCAATAAATATCTACATCAATCATAGCTTCACAGTAAGACTCAAACAGGATTTGCGGAAATAACCCTGTTAGGAATACACAAAACTGGACTCGGTGTTCTTAACTATAGAAACATTATTGATTTCTGAAAGATCTGATTTCTGCAAGGTGGCTGAGTTCTGACCTGAGGGACTGTAGTACTTTTCCCTACAAACATCCCACTTCCTGGCTACTCAGACTTCTCTTGTCACAAAGCCTGTGCAAGTAAGCTATTGGCCAGGCTCCTGGGCCCAGGAATGCTGTTGCCGCTGCTAATAGCTGTGTGAACAGTCCATCTATGGGCAACAAGCAGCCCGCCTGGTACCTGACTGTTTTCTTACTCAGGCCTGTGCTTCCCATGCTGAAATTTAGACCAGATACATTCTCATGGCAGGCTGATGAGAGAATCAGGAAAAGAGAAAGCCTGCAGCTCTCGTTTGAGATATGCAATAAAAACAAGATGTCTTCTGCAAAGGCTGGGTGGACTTGGCTGGAACCGTGAAATGACAGCAACTCCCGGGTGGGGGCCTCGCCTGAGACAATCCCGGGGTGGGAGGCTTCATCAGGAATGCCTTTGTGAAGCCCACAGGGCAAGTGGGTGGGAAACTATTTAATAACAAAAACTCCAGGTTTCATTTACAGAACAAGAGGGCTGGAGGCGAAATAGGGTTCTTTGCTAAAACTCAACAAAGCATACATTATCGAAAAGAAATGGTTTCCAAGTAAGGGAGTTTTTTCATAAGCTTGCGTTAAAAATGCAGCCCCGCCTGTATTGTTATCTATTGCAACCAAAATAAAACAGATTTCTCTTTCCATCACCACACAAGTGACTGACACTTCTGAATGGCCGCATTCCCTGGTTTTTAAATCTCCTGTCTGACCTTGAGCTGAACGCACTGTCCCTGGGCCCCTAGTGTTCCCTCTTGGAATACGAAAAAACTTCTATTTTTTCCAGAATTGTTTTCTGGTGCTTTAGCTCTTTGTTCAGTTTAATGGCATACTCTCAAAAATTTCTCCTACCCTGTTTTCTGCCCTCCCCACGTCCATCGCCAGGAAAGGAGGTGAGGAGGCCCAGGTGTCCAGGGGCACCAAACTCAGAGCAGGCCTGCCCCCTTCGGAGGGCAGCTCTGGAGCCTGAGTCTATGAATCGGAAAATGAAACTGTGCCTTGTATACCGACGAAAGTTAATGACCGAGTTAGTCAAGTTTTAAACTACTGCAGGAACACAGTGGAGCGAATTCCTGGCATCTGGCCCTGTATCACTTATAAATGAGCCAAGAAAAAGTAGTCACCTAAAAACCTTATAGTTGTTCATGCTTTGGTCCTGAATTGTAAAGATCCTGTTGTTCGAAATTTTTCCTGTGATATGGTTAACAAGCAAACCTTAAAACTAGTGAAATTTAAAAAAAAAAAAAAAAATAGG